CATTGGAGGACCTGGGAGCACTGGACCGCTATTTTATCCTATTTATGGTGAGTGCATACTGATGACGATTCCCAAACTAGGGCGAAACGGCGATCCAGTACTCACAGGTTATCCAATGGTTCGCAAAATGATGTCAGCTAGTGATGAAATCCTCCAACCAATCAAAATAAATCCATACGAAAGCCATTACGTGACGGTACACAGTGTCTTCAATGGAATTCCCAGTAATCAATCACTAGAGGCTGAAGGTATTGACGTTCACGGATAGTAAAAAGTATACTAACGCAAAATCTAATCCACACAACTTCTATAGTATTCGTTCCACGTAGACCAAAGGCAAAGCAAAACACAAGAGTTGATCGTCCAAATTACGAGATATATTTCGGGACCAAATCGGAGTGCGAGATGATTGCTTAGCTAGCTAGGGATCGTGCAAGAACGAACGAACATTACACGACGGAGTACCAAATGGCGTGGATGCTTGACCGGAAGTCTTCGGCTAAACAAGTCGGCTTAAACAGTGAGGGTCAGCATCCAATGTTCAGTGATGAATGCTGTGGCCAATAATTTTGGGGAATTATTTATCACTACAGCTCACTCCCCCCTTGTGGGGTTGTAAGGATTCTAAGACTGAACCAGCCGGAAGTGGAGTGCCTACTGATCATCTACCTATCCTAATAGGGTGTCTTTACATCGCTTCGTTGATGTTTGTCCGTTGGATCTCGTACTTCGTTTCCTTCTTGTCCATTGCTTGTCGAACCTGGAAAAGAAAACAAGAATGCTAAGAACTTTGTTAAGGAAGATGTACTAAAAGTAACGTCTGAAAAATGATATGCATCTACCATACAGAAAAATAATGCGAAAATACAACATCGAAAAAATACATATCTAATTTTTAGTGGGTGTAGCATGTATGGTTGCAGAAAAGTCTTTACTTGTGTTGCGGGACAATATAAAAAACTTGATGTGTCCGAAAGAAAAAAATTTAATAAATACCACAAATGAATAAGAGTTGGGTGAATCGCATCACTTAGTTATGTGATATAAGTGTGATGTTCACACGTTTCGTCCGGAACGCGTATTTAGGGATAGACAGAAGGTTCAGATGCTTTCGCCGTGTTAGTGATTTCTTCGAGGACTAACGGATATTCGGTTACTTGTGTATTGTTGGGATCGCTCAACTCTAGGCTAATAGCATTGCCTTCTAATTAGGCCGATTTCAGACGGTCGATGCTGACGGTGTCTACGCGGCCTTTTTGTCCAAGACAAAGAATTTATCCATAAGTTTAACGACTTTGTATAGTCCGTCGTATGGGGGTTCCCGAGGGCGGTGCACAGAGTCACTACGAACAAATACATATGAAGAAGTTTTCAAACACGGATAAACAAAGACGTCTATGGACTGTGGTCGAAGGGGAGCAGGTTTAACTGAACACATGGCTTCTGTAGGCCTGCTGACGTATGAGGCATGATCTACCACGGTGAAACGTAGTCCAGTTGTTGTGATTCTCCAGGTGAATGCTTATCCAAAGTTGAGTTCAGAGATTTACTTCGACCTAACAATAACCGCTCTTACAAAACTCCTTCACCGTTTATGACCTTGATTAGTACTCTGCCTACGTGCAAGTACTAAAGAACGGAATCAAAGTTAAAAGACTTGAAATGGCAAGTGTAACTGGACCGGAATTGTATTTACACAAAGAGATATGGAATTTGATAAGAAATAAAAAGTACACACTTATCTGGAGGTGAGACGAGGGTCAGCTCGGAGAGTGTACTAGGTGAAAGTACAGCGAGAGAGCGAAACCGAAACCGTACAGGAGGATCAGGAATACAAAGTGGAAGTGGGGTTAAAGGTCAGGTTGCGTTCATTCAAACAAAAGTTCAAAGGTACAATGTACACTACAAGTACGTCAGAGGTTTTTGGTCAGTGAAAATTACAAATTCACAACCCTCCACTGAATGTCGAAAATGACGTATGGCACAGTAACAGCAAGAAGTTCTCTGCCGAATGTGCTGTACTTCGTTTCAGCTAATTGAAGGTGCCTCGAGAAAACGGCGAGTGGTTGCCACTCTTTGTTAACTTGTTGTTGCAGAACTGCGCCGATTGAAGTGCCCGATGCTTCAACCGAGATACTTAACGGTGCCATTGGATACTGATATATAAGAAGTGTGGCATCTGCAATGGCTTTCTAACCTGAGTGAAAGCATTTTGAGCAGACGTGTCAAGTTCGATAGCCTTGTTGTTCCCTCGAAGGAGATCGGTTAATGGCTGAATTAGCGAAGCACAATTAGGAATAAAACGTCGGTAATAACTTACCGAGCCGTTAAAAGTGCGAAGACTTTTCACTGTCTGTGGCTCTGGAAAGTTCAGTACCGCTTTAACTTTACTAGCCAGTGGGCGAGTACCCGTGCAGTCAATAGTGTGGCCCAGAAAATCGAGTGAGTCAAAGCCTACCTAACAATTTTGAATAGTAATGGTAACACCATGTTGGTGTAACCTTTCGAATGACAAGTTCAACTGTCTAAGTTGAAATTCATTTTCTGGACTGGCAATGAAGCAGTCTTATAAGTATGGGTATACAAAGTGGAGACCACGAAATACTCCGTCAATGAAGCGTTGGAATGTTTGTGCTGCATTCCGGGGACCGAATGCCACACTTAGAAATTCAAAAAGTCCGAAAGGCGTAATGACAGCCATTTCGGAGTATCTTATGGTGCTATCAGGATTTAGGTATACACTTTAACCAAGTCTATTTTCGAGAATATAGTCGAGCCAGATAATGTTGCCGTCAAGTAATGTATTGTGAGGCAGTGGGTCGCCAGTCGTTGCTATCCTTTTTCGGTACCATATGCAGCGGGGATGCCCATGGGCTATTCGATGGCCGAATGACGCTAAGGGTGAGCATATGGTCGAACTCCTTTATAGGGAGTCGCAGTTTGTCAGGAGAAAGTCGTCGTGCTTCAGATATCACGCGCTATCCTGAGGTTATGATGAGGTGGATAGCATTACTGGTTATGCTCGGTAGATCGTTAGACGGGCAATTAAGTTCCGGATATTTATCAACAGTCGGTTGAAAAGTTGGATCAAAGATTGCCTTCATTTTAACAAGTGACGAACTGGGGCCTATGTAGGTGATGCCTTTTATGGACAGACTAGTAGTATTGTCAACCAGTCGTTTTCGGTGGGCGTCTACGAGTAAATCATCATGATTAAGTAGGTCCGTGCCAATGATGGGCATTGTGACGTCAGCGAGAACGAAAATTCACTAAATAGGTTTACGTGAACCTACGTTCAGATAGACGTATTTCCTACCAAAGGTTGCAACTGCTTTTCCATTTGCAGCCTGTAAGTTGAAGGTAGGTTCCTTCTGTCGATCTGCTGCTGCAGCAGGAAGGACGCTGACTTCGGCACCTGCGTCGACTGAATATCGAGTTTGGTTGACCACATCATGAATGTAAAGGAGGAAGTTAGTGCCACCACCGACGGTTGCCGCTAACGCGTACCGGCGGGATAGTTTCCCACAGTCTTTGAAACATTGTTGAAATTACAAGGCTTTCGGCAACATTTCGCTTCCTGGCCATAGGTGCTGTGATACCAGCAACAGTCAGGGTTTTTTAACGAACGTGGCTTGGATTTAGATTGACCACATGAGTTTCGCCATTGAGGGAAGTTCGGGCGACAGCAGGAGGAATTACATGGTATGTTTGACCTGAGCATCTGTTAGATGGAGTTGCATAACTCCATCCCTGCAGTATCCCTACTCGAAGTCTGTTTGGCCACCGAGCATATTTCGCCAACTGGCCGTTTAGTTATTTCTAGAATTTTTACCTGCAGAAACAGCTAAATCATCTATAATAACACCCTGAAGTGTCACAAGTACAGCCTGTATTAACTGTGGCAGTTTGGATAAGAACAGTTCTCTGAAAAGTCCTTCATTGAGTTGACGTTGGCCAATAACTTCCCTCATTCTTGTTAGCATGCTCACGGCTGACCTATCACCTAACTGGGCGATGCGAAATAGTTCATTAAGACGCTGTCGATCCGTAAGAACGTTTCTCCTTAGGAGGGTTGCTTTAAGCAACTCACACGAGTTAATTACATCTAGGTTCGACATCTGCACAGTTAACGCACTTGCTGAATTCCCGCAGTAGGGCGTGAACAACTGCACGGAGATGTGAACGTTGAACAGTTAACCCATATTCGCCAAAATCAGACTCAGCTATCTGAAAACATGATTCAGCATTATCTGGGCAAAATGGTACGATTAAGAATGACCTTAGGACTGTGATCACTCATGACGAAATACATACAGTTTGAAAATAGTACAAGAACAAATACAAAATGGAACGAACTCACTGGATTTGTTTGTGTATTTACCAAAGATGAAGTTCGCGGTTGAGCTCACCAGTTTAGAGGCTGACGGTGTTGACGTTCACGGATAGTAAAAAGTATACTAACGCAAAATCTAATCCACACAACTTCTATAGTATTCGTTCCACGTAGACCAAAGGCAAAGCAAAACACAAGAGTTGATCGTCCAAATTACGAGATATATTTCGGGACCAAATCGGAGTGCGAGATGATTGCTTAGCTAGCTAGGGATCGTGCAAGAACGAACGAACATTACACGACGGAGTACCAAATGGCGTGGATGCTTGACCGGAAGTCTTCGGCTAAACAAGTCGGCTTAAACAGTGAGGGTCAGCATCCAATGTTCAGTGATGAATGCTGTGGCCAATAATTTTGGGGAATTATTTACCGTTACAAAGCAACACCTCAGAGGATGCAGGAGGAGTGGAGGACAAGCGAGATGGAACTATATCAATTTTGATGTAACACTCTAACTCTAACTGACTCTTAGAAGTAATGTCAGTACTTCTATTCAACCAGCCAACTATAAGAGTAGAAAAACGTAGATATTGAGAAGAGAAATATCAACGTAGGCTCGAAGCCTTCTATACACGTTCCGAAATCTTTTTTTGTATACAGAGTAAACCAGGCGTCTTTATGAGGTCAAGGTCGTCAGGGAGTTACGGTGAGTGCTTTTGCCGTGCTACCAGATTTATCCCAGAAACAGTAACCCGAATCAGTCTTTGAACTAGATGGTGTCAGGCGGTTTTTATTTTAAGATTTACTTTCGCGGAAATGACTAATTCCTCGTTGCATTAGTAGATTTTTTAACAAACTCGTTTGGTAATTGGGCTAAGGTGGCTGAAACAGTTGAACCTCGTCCTGTTCTTTTGTTACCATTCTAGTCGAAATTACTTAAGATCATATCTTTTTATTTCAAAAGCAAGATGAACTTTTCCAGGCAGCAACTCACCTCCTTTTCTTATTTGACTTTGGGAAGCTGACTACAAAATTATGCGTCAAAAGTGGATCAGTTGACCGTTTTCTAGCTAAGGTGTCTGCGTTTAGCTTGTTATATAAGCTAGTACAGTATGTTCAGTGATATCGAGGTTATAGCATCAATCTCTAGGCGCAGGACGTTAGGTAATAAGGGGAAGTTAGTCGATTATACTGTACTGCTGCGATAGCTGAAATAGCTAGGTCACGTGCGTAAGGTGTGGACAAATCCGGTTATTGCAGTTACTTCACAGAGTCATTATGTTCTCTGATAAAGAAATGTTCAACATCGTAAATACTATTAGTGTACGACTTTATCTGGAATACTACATATACAAGCGGCTGGTGCTTGCTTTAACAGACAGACAGACACTAAAACTTGTAGTAGATAGTTACTAAGTAACTAACAAAACTTTATTAACATCTCTTTGAAATGGTGTTGGCAAGTCTGTATCTTTCTAATAGTATAATCTGCCACATTGTATTTAGAATAGTTATGTAAGTGTCGACATGCCTAATCCTTTTTCTCCTAAAAATCAACCAAAATTTCGGAAAAAGTTTTAAAATCTGCAGCGGAATGTATTATCAGTGGAACTATCAGTGTTAAGCGACTTAAGCTTGTAGGGGTGATTAATCATAACAGTTCATTTAGTGAACGTTTGAAAGAAATATACTATAATCGTTAATGATTAGAGACTAAATGCTATAGGCTGCTTTAAAGCACCTAGAGTCCTACAAAAAAACTAGTGCCTGGTACACTTTTACCTTGATTAAAAGCGACTGGCCTCCGGTTTTCCACGTCCAGCCGTCCCACAGAGCGAACGTCTGGACTGTAAGCACCTTTGATGGGTAACTGGACACCACGTCTCCGCCAAGGCTGGCAAATACTGCACGAGCCTTTTGTATCCATGTTGAGGTATCGTCATCACTCAGTCGATTGGTGCTGATGCGACTTTCCAAAAAAGTGAATTGGATAACATGCTCTGCTATATCACTCCTTATGGTTAAACCAGAAGTTGGTGCAGACCAGTCTTACAGCGTCACTCTGCGTTTAACAGAAGCAAATCGGATGCCGTACATACTGAGATACACGTTTAAGGTGTCCAGGAGATCCTGCCTTTTGTCGTCTTCATGTAGAAGGCCTGTATCATCTGTTGGTCAGCGAGGCCCTGCTCTATTAAGAAAATCAATTCTTTCAGTAGATTTGCATGTGCACTAAACCGTTACATAACGTACCAGCAAATTAGCAAAATTAAATTACTGTATTCAGTTTTTTGTACAAACCTTTCCTTTTTTTATAGGTACTTCCTAATCCTGAAGAATTTATTCATTTCTTGGAAATGAACCCTACTTTCCATCTTTTTAATGCTACAAACACAGTGACAATACATACAATTCTCGACGCCTTTTTATCGGTCTGAATATTCAGTTGTATAATTTTCTCATGTAGATACCTTGGAAAGACGAAATATGGCTTGTTTCTGTGATGGTATTCCACTTAATCACACCAATATGTTTAATTCCACTTCGCAGTTTCACAAGTTTGCTTCTGTGTGTTCTGTTTTTCTTGCGTAAGTGTCTGTATCCTCTTATATATGATCTAGTTGGTACTGTTTGGTGTTCAGATTGGATTAATGAAGTCGCTGCTAATCATTGGAAGTAATCTTTGTTTGATTATTGTTAATTTGCTTAGCTCATTTGCTACTGAGCAGTATTTCGACAGTAGTGGGTACTTCCTGTCGTGCATTTGGAGCATACCAGCCATTCTCAACAGTTTAATAATTACTGTAAGTTCGCTGGTCTATACTTACTCAATTATAAAGGTTTTGCTTTTCCTACAGGTGAATACTCTACTTGTACAATGCAAGCGCCTTCAAGTGGCACATCAGCAACATGCGAAGAAAGATTAATATATATGCATCTATATTTCAACTTTTTTATTGGAAGTGAACTGGCTATTTTTAGATGTTTTGATACTTCTTAACGTATGACAATAGTTATTTTCACTGTTATTTTAATATATTTTCTTAAAATGTAGAGTTGAATGTTCGTTTAACATTAAAACATGAACAGTCAGATATGCAGTAGTAAAGCATAGAATTTCTTACGAGAAGTAAACTGGGTTACAGCAATCGACACCCGTGTGACAATGACTTTTTGCTAGTAAATTAGGTGTTAGTTGCCTTCGGTGCATTTATTTTTGCGAAAAACAGACGATGTAGACTCTTCAAAAATTTTCCTCCTAGTCATTCAGTTTCTCTTCAGAAAAATGTAAAAATCTGGCTTCCAACCAGTAGGTTACATGTTCCAACCTTGTTCTATATAGTGGGGTTTGGGAAACCAAATTGTATCACCAGCCCTCACATAATAAGTGTGACTTATTGCTACCTGTATGTGATTGTTGGATAACATTTCATTTTCATAAAAATGTAGGATTTATTCCGTGTAAGTAGATTCACTAGGTTGATAAATTTCATATACAATGTACTTTTGCTGCCTTCGGCTGTGTACTGATTTCCAACAGTATATGAAAAGAATGTGTAATTTTTACTGGTAAGGCAACCGAAATAAACTGTTTAAAACTGTGGGTGATATCGCCTACGTCATACTGATTTATTCCCGATTCCTGTCTGCGGATAGTTTCTTTTTGTGTAATTCTACTATTACTGCTGCTGATGTGTAACTTTCTAGATTGTTCTTTTTCATTTGATTTTTCTTTACTGTATTGTTGTCAAGTCTAATAACGTACGGGTAAAAAGCTCACAGTAGTAATATTCACTCACATCCATGCAATTATTTCACCGTTTTAGTAACAGCGACCAGAATTAACTTAAGTGTTCAGCTAGGTGATCTGTTTTTAAATGTTTTTCGCGCATAGCTCTGCGGATCTTCAGAAAATGTATCAGTAATGTATTAGTTGCGATATTAACCTTGTGGATCATAAAGGTATAGATGGGAAAGGATGATGCTGTAACGGAAGTCAACTTTACTACATTGAACAATTCTATGGCTTCCAGTAAATGTGTTATTATTCCATCTTTTGTTCCATCTAAAAAATCTAATCGAGTAAACGTTTTGCGTAAAGGAATAAAGTTTTCTGTCCAAAGAATAACGCACACACTCCTTTCAGCCACTTATTTATTTGTCAAGGTGTTATAAAGAATTATATCACGAAAACTAGACAGATTATTACTACTACATACTCATCGAATTAATTAACAAAAATCGCCATAGGGATAAAAAAAAAGCATCGTGTAGGGTGATATTAAATCTATACATTATTTCGAAAATATACAGAAAGTTTCTTTACAAGTTATTATGATGAAAACACATCAGTTTTTTAGACCAAGCTTTTTCTTTTCTTTCTCCTTTTTTCTATGGACTTCTAGTTGGCGGTTGCGCCAGTCGCTCTTTTTAAGTTTAATTGGACGGTTACCAACATATTTACCTAAACAAAAAAGATAAAATACACAGCAGTAGAAATCTTGTAAGAGAAATATGAAAGAGAAGGGCTGATAAATTTTCAGTGGAATGACTAAAAATTGTATATTTATTTGTTTCTACTGATTATCCAGGTCCCAAATATCCCGATTTAATTATTCTCTCCACTGCAAATTGAACTTTTGTGCAGAATTCTACGATGATAACTCATTATGTATAAGGAAGAAATGCAAATAAATATGTACTCAAGGCATCTGACTTATTACAATCGGCATTTGACATTCTAGGAACATGGTAAAAAAAAAGGCATTTCAAAGATTTAGTGGGAATACGTTTCTGATACTCAAGTTATTACAAAAAGTGAAAGTTTATCGCTTGAAATCAGTCATTGTTTATGGGTGGTAACTGCTGTGCCTTTTTAGTTATTTTTGATAGAGCTAGGTGGAACAGATTTCACGATTGACGCTTTATTACTCTTTGGAAAATAATAATACGATTCAGTGTTAACTGAAAACTACGAAAAGGTTAGTATGCTAAAGGACCTAAGGAGATTTTCTGTCACATTTCAAGTTCGTTAGGATAACTGGCATTGACTTAATTTTTCAAGTCAGTTCGAAAATATTAATTATTCTCTACTTCTTGTGCTGCAGCATCATCACTTTAAAATAAGTAGAAACTAGAAATGGCTTTCTTTTTTGTAAATCCAGCAAACTGTTACCTTTTAATCTCCTTCAAGTCTGTTTCGGCAGTCAAGCCTACCCTTGCCAACTAAGCTATAATTAATGATCCAAATATATACAGTGAAATAATCTGTTTCTTTAGGTTTCTCTTACAGGTGGTAAAATAATATATTGTATGAATTGAGTAAAATATCAACATTATTAGTATAACAGTTGTGACACTTAGAAAATAACTTTATACTCACCATTCATTTCTCGCATAGCGCGAGTGAAATCTCCAGGATCAGAAAAGCTGACAAATCCATAGCCACGAGATTTTCCAGTACGTTTATCTCGAACCACCCTCGCCTTTTGAAAAGATGGATAACGATTGAATGCTCTTGATAAAGTATCGTCTGTGACCTCATTGCCCAGATCTCCACAGAACAATCGAAAATCATCTACAAAATAAAAGATTAAAAACAGTCAATATGGGTTACTGAATAAAACAACTACCATTTATAGACCTAATCAATCTGAAAGTAAAATGACACTTTAATGTGGGCTACGATGTTTTAGAAATACATATAACTTTAAAAGACCATTTGGCAACTTTAATATTATACTATTGTATGTTTGAAACTAAAGTAAATCGTCATAAAGGAAAGTATTATCAAAAGGAATTATTACATCTTAGCTGTTTTGTGGTTTATGAGTCACATTGTGTGTTATATCTGGTAACGATTTGAGATTGGGTAGACGTTGTAGGGGAGAATGAAACATGGATACAGTGCCTATTGTTTATAAGTTCATGCCCTTAGCTAACATGTGGTAATTGAAGAAAGAAAAGGGAATTACGTCAGGACCCATGATAACATTTCACCTTTCGCGTTGTAGACAAGTGCAATAAATAAACATCTTATCAATAGACCATTCAGATTGAAAGTTAACCTGAAATAGCAGAGACACTCGCAGAAACATTCTTTTCACTTACAGGAAATAAGGCGTGGAGACCTTCGTTATCTCATGATGTTGGTTTCTCTGTATTTGTTTATTCCCGAAAATTAATTGAAGTAAGTCACTTTTTGGTGCAGTTAAATGGGTCGACCAACATTGTAGGCATAGTAACAACTGCAAACATACGATATACCTGGGTCAGAAGAACAAAGAAACCGCAATAACTAACTGGTTAAACGAAAACCTGGAATCCGTCCATGAAGTCTTTGACACTTAGCTTGAGCCAGTTCCATAGGGAGGTGTAGACTGCCTGGTTAGAGTCATTGAGATGCTCAGAATCAATGGCCAAAAACTATAGGTGACAAGGTTCAGAATCGTTTTCAATGGTGCAGATGTATTCACCCTTTGTGGTCTGCCGCCATATCCATTAAACCCTACTGTTTTTACTATGTTAATATTCTTCCCCTGTCACACTTCTGCTTATTATCGTCGTTTTGAATCTCTTCTCTCTCTCTCTTTTGTCTTCCTTTGTGTGCTACATGGAGTGTAGAAAGTTGAACTGCTACATTTCTGTGAAAAGTCCTACGTTGAAACCAGTCAGCCAACAACTTACTTTTCCGTCCGGATTATAAACGGAAGTTCAACTTTGTTTACAGGTTGACTGCCACATATAGGCAGTACTAATACAGACCAGTTGCGAACTTTATAATCAGGTATGTTATCACTTTTCACAAGGTGAAAAATGAGGAAGTAGATAAAGAATTCTACAAAAGATAATAATGAGGCATTTGCAATAACCTTAAGCAGTAAGCTTGTTTATATTCGCATAATAAAAGAGGCACTACTTCAAATTTAGAATCCCATAATAGAAACGCCATAGGCTGGGTCGACAACCTGAAGGCAGTTTGTCTTCAGCACTTGTCTAGTTATCAATGTGTTTAAAACACCTATCACATCCATGTGTTCTGAACAAGTTACCAAAACTCGCTAACTCTAACGACATCTGGAAGTTGGTAACAGGTATTTATTGATGCTTTTATAGGAAACTAAAAATAATATGCAGCTTTTTCACACTGTCGTGTGTTAAGGCTGTCACACGCAACTTTGAAAACGCTGACATTATAGCTGCACCCATTTGGTCTTTCATTTTTAATCTATTAATCCGCTCCAATAGCATCCCAACGGTAACTATGACAAATTCCAGAGTCTGTGTTGCTATTTTTGACTGTTAGAACTAAGACATTTGTAGGTGACGTACTCCTACAAAGCTTCGAACAGTTATGTTATCTAATGAACGATAAGGATTTATTTCCACAATCAGAAAGGGGCAGTGAAGTTCTTGCCATCGGAATTAATGAACATATGACAAATTGTCTGATAGAGCTTAAACTAGTGAAAATCCATATCACTCCGTTACAAAAGAACATTAAGTTTGACAAGCAGGTCGAGAAAGCTTTGATGACTAGACCAGATTAAGGGGACGTTTTATTAGTCTTCCATCTCACATGTAGAACTCTTCCCAATGATAATTTCGTGAAAACAATGTCTCAGGCCTTGGATATGACTAAAAGAGAAATTCCTAAATGTGACAACAATCCCATAAACTACCGGAGTTTTGTATAAAAAATTTCGAAGACTGTGTAACACCATAAAGAACGGTCGTGAGTTATTGTTTATAGTAAATACGGATGGTTAGCTATTGGACATTCCACTGGAAGGGATAGTAAAGAATCTGAACCCGTAAGAAGAACGCTAATCCAGATTCTTAATAGTGTCTGAGGCTTAGCTTTCTGAATCTAATTCTAAAGAAACTAATTAACAATCCTCTAAATGAATCATCTTCGTTTGTTCGACCCTGTATAGTATGTCTAGAAGAGCACTCTTTAAATTGATGTTCGCAATTTAACGATGGGAACTTGGATGAACGTTTTGATACTATCCCTGGAAAAGATTTCAGGGGCCTGAGTAGTAAAAGGATTGCTCCAGATGGAAAGAGTTGTGCCAACAA